ACACACACACACACACACACACACGCACACACGCACACTCACATCATACACACACATAAAATTGAAACTTGCTGATTTTACTGTGTTGCAGGGGAGATGAAACATTATTTTGTGGTATAAAACAGACCTGGTGTTTAAAGAAAACATTCTGCAGATGTGGCTAGTGTGCTTTCTTTATTGGCACTGAGGTGGGAGAAGGCAGGCTCGTGCCGACAGTAAGGAAGGGAGACCCAGAAGGAAGCCAGATGTCTACCAGATCCTTGGAATGATTTAATTTATTGGGGTTGGGGCACAGCACTCCCATGGCGGTCAGAGGACAGCTTGTGGGAGTCAATTCTTTCTTTCCACCATGTGTGTGCAGAGGTTTGAGCTGAAGCTTGCAAGCTTGAAGCAGGCAAGCTCCTGTTCGTGGTTGAGCCATCTTGCTGGCCCTCCAGATTCTTGGATTACTTAGCATCTGTTCCTTGTACCATTCTTCTCTGTGTGTAGTCAGATTGATCTTGCTGCACCTTCTTTTTGAGGTTTTATTCTTTATCACAAGGTGTATAGAGCTGTAGAAAGAAAATGAATGGTTTGTATTATTACCTCACAGCTTAGGCCAGCGTGAAACAGAGTATCTGAGTTGAGAAGTCTCACCTGTCCTGAGATGTATGTTTGATAGGCTCTCATGACTAGAGAGGGAAGGGGAAAATGTATGAACATAATATCCATGTTGTGTGGGAGGCGCAGAGGGAGGCACAGGGATCCAGGAACTCCATCTTTAACCTCACATGAAAGAAGGCATTATAACTTGGTCTCCTGTTGGAGCCCATGTAGTTTTCCTCGTGGCTTTACCCAGCAGGTCTGCATAGAGAGGATGATTGGACCCCGGGCCTGAGGACCAGATGTCTGGGACGGTCTGCACTTGGCTGTGCTGGGGGGAGGTCGTTAGCCCACCCTTTGGCAGAGACCGTCAGGGTCTGATGGATTAGGATCCAGGCCCTCTCGAGGCTATCCTGTCTTTTCTGTCTGTTTCTCTCCCCTCTATCCGTCTAACATTTCCTGCTGCTCCTGCTCAAGAGTTCCCTGGGGAAGAGTAGGGGTGGGATGGCCCCCACAGTCTCTGATATTTTGAAGGCCGACGAAAATGTGTGCATCTGTCTGCCGAACACTGCCTCTGCCATAATTCTACTAAGCCTTGGGTTGGAGGAAGGTGAAGGAAAGGCTAGGCATGGCTGTTCACACCTGTAATCCCGTGGTCAGATGCCCGGGCAGGACTGTGAGCTGGAGGCCAGTCTGGGCTGCATGGGAGACCATGTCTCAGTCTCTCTCCTACAGCTTCCTAGCATAGGGAGTATATGACTCAGCTTTGTTGTTGTTGGCTTTGTTTTTCTTTTGTGTGCCTTGAGCACAGGAGAAGCTAATTGAATTTAAAGTTTTGTTCTTGACTGGAAAAGAGAAGTAGGAGCTGAGACTTGCTGCTCTAGGACGAATCTGGAGTCAGAGGTAGTGTTGGGAGTTCACGGCTGGACTCAGTTTGCCCTTGGAGTTTGTACTGTGCTGAAGAAATAACATTTATTAACAAGAATCTAGTTTAACCCACGAGGGAAACTTGTATTCAGTGTGTGTAAACAGTCGGACTGCTCCATACACACACACACACACACACACACACACACACACACACACACACACACACACACACACACGGAAGCTGGCCTTTGACCGCCAAGGACAGAGACCTGCATCTGTTATTTGTTATGCAAAAGCCTAGTGACAAACTGTTAAATGTCCCAGTCTTTCAATACTCAGTATGGTCCTCAGCTTTGTGGAGCAGCTGTGTCCAAACTCCACCTCAGCCCAACCCTGTCTCCTGCCTTGTTCAGCTTTGTGTAATAGAGACCTGTCGCCTGACCTGGAGTGCTGTGTTCATCTCCTACAGCCTTTCCTAAGAGGACTGGCCTCTTACCCAGAGGACCGTCCCATTCGTCTGTCTCCATGGAGATGCAGAATTAGGAGACTTGAGTACCTTCAGACCACTTTCGCCCACATACTGGTTTGTACTTTTCTGTAGATAGCCAGGGCTTGGAGAGCATCTGTTCCTTCTTCTGAGCTTCCTTTCTGGACTTTCCCTCCTAGGAAATAATTAACCTTGCAAGGATACAGACTCACAGTTTGGAGCGCTGCAGTCTCCTCTGGACATACCTTGAAGGGCCACCAGGCTGGTGCCCATCACCCCCCAGGTCTTTGCTTGCGGAAAGCCTGAACTGAGAGCGCTGTCAGCATGGCTGAAGCCAGGGTGCTGCTTCTGTCTCTGCCATATCTCGGTGTGGTTCCCTGTTCCAGGTTCGAAAGAGAATCATGGATCAGGAGAGGATGTCAGAAGTCAGCTTCCTCTTGTGACATTGCTCACATGATCTCAAGGAGTGCCTGGCGGCACAGTTCACTTCCTGAATAGAGTGTTGGTGTCTGTGGGCTGTGATGATAGGCTTCAGCTTAGTAGAGGAATATAGAATCTAGCCTTCAGCAGATACAGAATGCACATAGACCTCGGAGGAGCTCTCGAGTTTTGACAGAAAGGTGAAACAGCTTACCTTGGACTTGGGTTTCCCTAGATTTCATTCATTATAAACCGTCTTCTGTAACGGATCAAGTGATAAAATTACAGTCTTGAGTGCTGGAATAGAACTGTAGCTTCTGTCGTTGCCTCTGGGTGAGCACTGAGGATGAGTTGTCTGAGGACAACAATGCCACCCCCTGAAAGTCTGCGGAGGTCAATGCCAGCACAAGGCCTGGTACGTGCTCAGCACTCACTACACCGTGGGCATTGTTGATTAGTGCCACCTGTTGCCTATCTGCTCTTATCTTCCCAAAGGAACCTGTTTCCCCAGGTGACAATCATATGTGCTGAATGCTCGAATAGCCTTCCCTGTCATCTCAAGTAGAAACACGTGGGGTGCGTTAGGAAACTGGGTATAAGGAGCAAGGGCTGTTGCACCCCGTTCTGTTGTCCAGCGCTTGGCACTGTGCTCAGGATGCACAGTGAGTGCTCATTAAATGAATGAAGAGGGGCAGGGGAATAGCCGCTCCTGCAGTTTAACTGGAGCCGAGTGGCCAAATAAAGACAATGAAATTGCCCAGGGCAGTGGTTCTCAGCCTTCCTAATGCTGTGACTTTAATACAGTTCCCCATGTTGTGGTGACCTCCAAACATAAAAGTATTTTGTTGCTACTTCATAACTGTAAATTTGCTACTGTTACGAATTGTAATTAAATTTCTGATATGTGACTCCCAAAGGGGTTGTGACCCACAGGTTGAGGGCTGATGGGCTCGAGCCTCATACTAAGCTGACATGATTTAGACTTTGTAGACATTGAGAAGCCATTAACTCTTTGAGTGATGGCACAGAACATACAAGCTAGCCTTCTAGACAAATCTGCTGGCAATCTAGAGTGGACTGGGACAATATTAGTTGGTGGTGGCCCATTTATTGATCCTGTAGCAAGTGTGTAAGAAAATGTTGGCAATCTCAAGGACCTCGCTTGTTAAAGTTGAGAGGAATGTTTTAACTATGCTGTGAGAAAGATTTGGAAAACATTTGAAAAGAAAATAATAAATGTAGGGAAAACTTGTAGTAACTTACTAGATGAGTGAAGAAAACGAGGAACCCGACTTTTGACTGAGAGTCATGGCCGGGTGCTCGTCTCAGGAAGACAAGTTTGAGGAGATGGGAGCACTGCCAGGAAGTGGCCCAGCTGTCAGTGGGGTGTTTGGTCAGAACGTTGGGGAGGAGGTGGAGCTGGAGCAGGTGATTGGTGGGTCACTTGCAGAATGCAGGTTTAAATCAGAGTGGGGAGGGTAGAAAAGGGAGACTAGGTGAGGACTTAGGTTTGATTGATGGGAGGAGGAAATAGAGGCAAAGTAAATGAGAACCCAGTCAGAACACTCAGAAGCCAGTGGAGAGGATTTCAGTGGAAGGAAGAATATTTAGAAGGGCCGAGTGACAGGCCGTGTAGGCAGGTAGCAGCAGCAAGCAAGAAAAGAAGAAAACATAGCTCAGACTGGAGTGAAGTGGAACAGTGGAATGATTAGTAACCATAGAAGAGAGTAGGAACGTTCACTAAAAGGCCTGCCTCTCAGATATTTATTTACACGGGTGGAGAGCTAAGATAGTGTTTGTCTGCTGACATGGTCTAGCTGTGTAGCCCAGGGCCCAAACTGATGATCAGTCTCGGTTCCCTGAATGCTGAGGTTACAGGTATGTGCCATGCTGGGCTGATGGATTCTTTAAACCAATTGTGTGAGGCTGGCATGTGGTTCAGTGGCAAAGTACTGACTTAGCATGTTCTAGGTCCTGGGTTCAAGGTCCAGCATGGAGAAAAGTTCATACAGACAGCAAGCTTTCTAAAGCTTTTTATGTCCAACAGTGTCTCGCTTCTCACATAGATTGGTAGTTTGGACGGGTATAGAATTTCAGGTAGAAGATAACATTTTTCACAGAATTCTGAAGGCTCCGTCTCAGATGGGCTCTTCATAAAGCTTGGCTAGAGTCATCACATTTAGGTTTACTGGGGTGGTAAGGGAGCAGAGGAGGTGAGCACACCATGAAGAACATGGGCAGAGATCAGAAGCCTTGCTCCCTTGGTGAGCTTAAGACCCAGAATGACTGTTTTGGGTCCTCTCAACTTTCTGACTTCTGATTCTAGGAAACTGAGCTCATGGGGGCTATCCACACTTTTTGCTTTATTTTTCTGTTTTAATCCAGTAGCTTGAATAGATACATTTCTTAGAGCTGAATGCTTCTTAGGGCAATCACCCATTTTATTTTAAAACCATCTCTATGTATTTGAGAAATACAGCCTCTTCTCCGGGAGAACTCCAGAGTAGGCATCCGAAGGCCTGGGTTATAGACCGGTATTGACTAGCGCCGTCACTGAGTGCATTGACTAATCTCTTCACCTCCTCATGACTCAGTCTTCTAATGAGAATGCAAGACCCTTCTAGAAAGATGCTGGATAGTAAAGACAGAGGTGAGATTACCTTTGTAAATACACTTTGAAGGAAGGTTCAACATAAGATGTATCCGCTGGTGGGGTGCTGGGAGAGGACTGGGTGATAGGAAGGAACGATGCTCAAGGGTATTGCTATCTAGGACTTCACATTGCTACTGGAAACTCCCACTGTCAGCCCTGCTCACTGCTCCTCTGATGGCATTTGGTTATTAGGGACTCACCTGTGACTAGAACAGAGAAAAAATGACCATGGATGTGGATTTCTGGCCTCTGGCTTCTGGCACAGCACTGGTAGGTCCCACTGTCGGATGGTGTGGCTTGTTCTATGGTGAACACCAACTGAGATGACCGTTCAGTGATGCCATCTGTCCCAGGATCCCTTTTAACCCGTAGCTGTTCTAAGCTGGTCTCGGGGGAGCAGTCCCAAGACCTGTCTTTGCACCAGAAGAGCATTAGTCCCTCAGCTTCACCCTTCTTGTGCCACAGAGTACAGGTGAAGTCCAGTTGCCCTCCTCTCTGGGATGCTGAGCTGGTGACATGGATGCACCCTGGAACAGAAATGCAGAAGTTACCTTGAGAAGCCAGGGAGAGTTGCTTAAGTCACACCTAGCTGGTCCCTGTCAGTACAGTCTGACATTGACAATGGCAGATGGCACACACAACTTCTAGTTGTCCCTGTGACAGCAAGCACATTGCCTGCCTCCTCTAGTCCTCCTGGGAGGTGAGACTTAGAGACCAGATACATACACGTGAAACTTATACTCCATGATGCTGGTGGGGTGGGGGCTGTCTTAGTGACTGTTCTATTGCTGTGACAAAGCACCGTTATAAGTTTATAAAAGAAACGGTTGCATTTGTCAGGGCAGAGTGAAGGCCTGGTGTCAGGAACAGCTGAGAGCTCACATCTCAGATCACAGCAGGAGAGAGAGCACACAGAAGGAAAGAGGCTTTGGAACCTCAAGCCCACCCCGGGACACATCTTCTCCAACAGGGCCACACGGCCTAATCTTTCCCAAATAGCCACTAACGGGGACCGAGTATTCCAGTGCCAAGACTTACTCAGGACATCTCGTTCAAACCATCAGAGCTCTGCTCTCAAGTGTGTGGCCCAAGGAGAAGATCAGCAGAACACAAGCCAGCTGGTGGTGGTGTTCGCCCTTAGTCCCGGCAGAGGGGCAGAGGATCTCTGAGTTCGAGGCCAGCTTGGTCTACAGAGCCAGGGCAACACAGAGAAATCCTGTCTTGAAAAATCAAGTAATACTGCCGGGCGGTGGTGGCGCACGCCTTTAATCCCAGCACTCGGGAGGCAGAGCCAGGCGGATCTCCGTGAGTTCGAGGCCAGCCTGGGCTACCAAGTGAGTTCCAGGAAAGGCGCAAAGCTACACAGAGAAACCCTGTCTCGAAAAACAAAAAAAAAAAAAAAAGAAAAATCAAGTAATAATAACGATAATGATAATAATAATAGATAAAGTAAAATTTTTAAAAGATTAGCAAAATACTGCACTCCAGAGTCCAGGCAGTAACAGGGCAGCCATGGCTAGAGGCAAGATGTGCAAACCCCACTTGGTAGTGGCGGAGGCAGTGACAGTGATGTTCCTGGGTCTGGAGAAGAGTGGATGAGTCGGGGCCGGAGAGGCCCTATACCAATGGGGAGAACGTGATGGCAGGGCAAAAACCCATTCTTGTATGAATGCAAACAGTTGTTCTGAAATGTTTTTCTACTTTGGGGAGGGAAATCAGTTGTACATCATAAAGTCAAATGCCTGGGAAGGCCTTAGTTGAAATCTGCAGGAAGTAAGGAGAGAAATGAAATGGTGTGGGCATAAGATGAAGCTCCAGGAAAGCTAAGACAGTGTGCCAGGAGAGGGTCTCAGGCATATTTTTAAGCCAAAGCTCAGAAGCAATAAAGCCTCAAAAACTCTACTCTCATGGTATGATTCTACCAGTGTAGCTGTGGCGAGGCAAGCCCTGAAGAAACCCCTCAAGGACAAACAAGCCCCCGAAAAGCAAGGTTGGGGGGATGTAACAGACCCAGACATGGGTTTCTACCTTGTCCAGAGGAGCAAGGCTGAGCAGCAGTCTGCAGAAAGGGAAGAGTAGAGGAGATGGTTGAGAGTGGAAAGGAAGAAGGCGTGAAGATTGGCTTCTCAGGGGAAGACAGGAGCCTGCCGGCCACCAGGCAGTTCTCTCAGGGCATCTTTGTGGGGGTGGAATACCAGGGGGCCTCGCCTGGTTCGCTGACACCAAAGGTCAGGGGCCATCCATGTGTGCAGAGGGTCCCTCCAGGGGTGGCTACGTGTTAGTGTGCTGTGTTCAGCGTCTGAGCAGAAGCCACTGCGTGCGTGCTGCTGGAGCCACGGATCCCCTGGGGAAACGGACTAGTCACGGCCAGTGTAGGAACTGCCAGATGGAGCTAGTGTGCCCCACGCCCGTTGCCTCCTGTCACGGTGCGGTCCGGGGTTTCGGCACAGTGGTGGCGCTGCTGCAGGGCCGTGTGGAGCCTGCCCGTGGATGAAGCATCAGCTGTTGCTCTGCCCTCGTAGCCATCTCCCTTCAAAGGACGAAGACCTCAAAGGGAAAAGACTGCTTTCATGCATGAGTGTGTGTGTGTGTGTGTGTGTGTGTGTGTGTGTGTGTGTAGGCCAAAGGACAGCCTCAGTGGCATCTTCAAGAACACTTTGAGACAGAGTCTCTGTCTAGATTGCCCGGTCAACAAGCCCAAAGGATCCTCCTGTCTCTACCTCCCCAGTGCTGGGATTACAGGACATGTCATCATCCCTGGCATTTTTGTGTCTGTTTGGCCAGCACCTTACCAATTAAGTGGTCTTCCCAGCACAGGTTTTTTTTTTTTAATATGATCTTAGAAAATTAAGCTGCATTAAATTTTTAAAAAAATACTTGTTCATTTTATGTGTATGAGTGTTTTGCCTGCGTGCATCTATGTGTACCATGTACATACCTGGTGTCTAAGGAGGATAGAAGAGGGTGGTGGACCCCTGGAACTGGAGTTATGGATGGTTGTGAATCATGATGAGGTTGCTGGGAATTGAACCGGGTCCTCTGCAAGAGCAGCAAGTGCTCTTAACTGCTGAGCCGTCTCTCCAGCCCTGCAGCTGCTTTAAAAAAGGATCTACATGCCTTTGCACTCTAGTGTTTGTAAGGGTTGTGCGGTTTCCAAAGACAGATTTGAACAGACGGTCTTATGTTATCAGAAATCTCATATCCTGATTACATTGTACATTGTTTTGTTCATAAGTCAGATGTTCTGTTTCCCTGGCATGTCAGACTCGGCGTAGATTTTAGAGGAAGGATCAGACATGAATGAGGATGCTCCAAGTCAACGCCTATGAAAGCTCGCACCCCTGTGCCGCAGGGTCAAAACCAGGTGGTTGTGAGGGAGCACTGTGGCCTTAGCGGGGTGTCTCCAAGCACTTGCTCTCCTTACACCTTGACGGGCGCATGTCAAAGTGTATGGCTACATATTCTTAAAGGTTTCTAAGGAAGTCGGTCTTCCCTTCCACTGTTTTAAAGTTTAAAGGCCCCATGGTCTGAAGGCACCAGGTGGGCACAGATCTCTTCTTTCACAGGATGCAGCTTTTCCTGGCACCACAGACCATCGGGGTGGGTAAAGCAGACAGGGAAGTGCTGCTTCCCTGATACACTAAGTGTATTTAAATCTACCTACCTACCTGCCTACCTACCTACCTACCTACCCTATCTGTCTACCTACCTACCTACCTACCCTATCTGTCTACCTACCTACCTGCCTACCCTGTCTGTCTACCTACCTACCTGCCTACCCTGTCTGTCTACCTACCTACCTGCCTACCCTATCTGTCTACCTACCTCCCTCCCTCCCTACCTACCTATCTCCCTCCCTCCCT